ATTATTATTATTATTATTATCATCATCAATATTAAAATACTACTATTATTATTCTATTGCATTTAAATAAAAAATAATTAATCTTGCTATTTAAAATTAATTTTAATTATTTGTGATGTATCTTAAAATAAGCAGTACAATTATGTATTATTATAAATTGTATTAAAATAATTGTTAATATTATTCAATTTCTTTTAAATAAAGAAACAGACCTTATAATAATAATAATAATAATTCATTGGGATATGTGATATTAAAAAAAATCATAATGAACATGTGTTTTGTTTTTGTGTAATGATTAATTTACATGATGACTGGCTGTCAAGTTTAAAGCAGTGGTTTAGAAAACGTTACATGGCTTATTTAATTTAATATATAAATTGTATTATCTAATAGCTAGATGTTTAAAAAAGATATTGCCCCCTCAAGTTGCTTTAATCCATTGGTTTTGTTAGTAGCTTGTAGCTTGTTCTTACTTTTTGCAAACAGCAGCTTGACTGTAGTTGATCTGCTTTATATCATGAGCTTGACAAGCTTCGGTTTCAAAGTAGCTTCCCGACATTGGTCCATGAGCGTGTGATTGGCAAGATGGGATATTATATCTCGCTTTAACCCAAGAGGATGTGTGAACCATAAAAAACATAGTCCTTCACTCTGAGATAAATCGGAGAGAGGTGTCACTGTCGAACCGTTTTCGAGATCCAGCCACCTGATTGATGTAGCATGTTTGCCTGCCCTGTGAGGATTTATATATATTTTTTTCAGTCTTGTCATCAGCTGCTTTAATTGAAGTCCAGCATTATTTACAGCTCGTCCCGCTGACCCCCGGCAGTCTGCGGAGTCTGTGAAAGCGGTTTAAACTGCGGCACATGAATATTGCATACAAGTGGACGTGATATGATTTACTGTTTCCTTTGTTCTGACGGTGACATCAACAATAACTGGGTTCTGTTTCATCATAAATAAATAAAATATTTGCAGATCTAACGAACAGTATGTGTTTGCTGGACTGCATAGTTGCATGGGAGAGATATATTCAATGAGTTATATAAAAAGCTATATGTCAAATTACCAGGGGCATCATATAGGAAGAATTGACTTCAAAAGAGCTGCGTTTTGTGATAGCATGGCTTACTTGCATGTACTTTAGTGCATTGTTGTAGCTTTCAGTTCACTGAAGGAGTTAAACAAACATTGAATAGCACTCTGGTATGCAGAAAAAAAGTATAAATATTTTAAATAAATATTTATTTATTCATTTATTTATTTATTCATTTATATTGGATTGGGTGTTTTTTTCTAAATTGGCCGATGTATGGGGGAATATATATATATATATATTTACACACACACACACACACA